ACAGACACAGAGTTAATGGGCTGCGGTGAATTTGGATAGTGGCTTATGTAGCTATGTGGAATCTATAGAGAAGCATAAACATCTAGGGGCTGCCACAAGATGGAGATGTGGAGGAAACATTGGACACTTGAGGAGAAAAAGAAAGAAAAGGGATTTGGAACCTTAGTGAGAGAAGGTGGGAAAGGAGATGTAGTGTCCAGTCTCACTTGAGCATGGAGGTGAGCACATCAGTACACTGAGAAAAAAAAAAAACCATGATTTACTCTTTTCATTGGTATTATGAGTCATGTGAACTGTATACATAGGTCTGGAGGGAAGGTGGGAGAAATCAAAGGGGAATATTGCTTAATGACCTTTGGAAAGGGGAGGAACATTTTCCTCCTGATTATGAATGGACTAGACACAGGGGTGGGGAACTTGTGTCCTTGAGGTCACGTGTGGCCTTCTAGGTCCTCAGGTGCAGCCCTTTGACTGAATCCAAACTTCACAGAACAAGTCCTCTTAATAAAAGGATTTGTTTTTGTAAAACTTGGACTCAGTCAAAAAACCTCACCTGAGGACCTAGAAGGCCACACGTGACCTCAAGGCCACGGGTTCCTCACCCCTGACATTAGAATATAACTGCTTCTGAGGGATTTTTTTTTGGCTGTTTAATAAACATCTGTCCTAGCTCCAATGTCTCGTTAGTCTTAGAGCTTGCAGGGAAGCAGAGGACTCCTAGAGAGACATTAGGCAATTTCTGATGCTTCCAAGGAAAATCCTGGGCAATATGACTTAGAGGGATTATTCTTGAGAGAAGTCTCCAAGGTAAACCGAGATGATTATGTTTGGAGCCAGAGCCTAGTTGATACATAGGTGTCACTTTAATCATATATTTTTGAAAAAAACATTTCTCACAAATAGCAGGAGAGAGAAACAGATAGATAGACAAACAGACAAAAGAAGAGAGATTGTGAAAGATTCCAGATTCTCATTGTCTGCTATATGACTAATGCCCTAAATTAAATTCATAAAGAAAAAGGAGAGAAAAAGAAGGGGAGGAACCAAAAAGAACAGCTTCTTCGATAAGGAAAAGGAAAGGATAAAGAAATGAGTGAGTAGAGGGAAAAAACTCCTAATATGACAGATAAAGTATTTTATAGCACTAACAATGTGCCAGGTACTGGGCTAACAAATGTAATATATTAAAATATCTTGAAGTTGTCAGACACAAAAAAATGACATTAAATTCTAGAACCATTAAAGAAACAAAGCCAAATTGAGTACAAGACCAATCAAATAAAGAGATAAGAATCCCTTATAGAAATTGAAGAGGTATCTGGCATTCCTGGAGAGATTTGACATCTGCAATGAGAAATTGATCATCAGTAAAAACAATACAGGACAAATCCATAACAAAAATCAGCTACATGGGGAAAGTAGTAGAAAATTTGAATAAAGTCAGGAATCAGTGGGAAATAAAATGATCAGACTGGTAGTTACATTGATAGAAAGGGCAGACTATATGTGTAAGTGAGAAGAAAGACAACTGAATTGGAAGGGGGCTTGAAAACTTTATAAGAAAAGATGATGACACTAGAAGACTGAGCTTAGTGAGCTAATTCAAAAGTAATCGGATATTTGAAAAATTCGACAAAAGAGCATAACCACCATTTTAAAGGGAAGTGCACAAGAAAACTTCCCAGAAGTAGAGAGAGAATAGATGAATAGATTGATCAAATTCAGTGAACAACATCAGAGAGAAAGATCAGATTTCACTCACCCAGATGCATTGTTGTCAAAACATTTCCAAGCCTTTCTATAAGAAAAAGAAAAACTCAAGTATTTGCCATGGAAATTAGTTCAGGAATCAATCTCGAGGTAATTCTTAATCAACGGCAGCCTGAGTGGGAACATTTGATATGCAAATTAACAGTGAATTTCAAGGTGACACTTAATCTTACAAAGAGAATTGTGCCTGGACCATGGCATCCTCTCCTGCGCCAGTAGTAACCATGACAACTTTAACCCCAGCATATACTGCAATTCCACTGCATAGGCAGTGGTAGAGGGTAAACAGTGCTGGTGGTAAGTTTTTTCATATTTCTGTGGCTCAGTTTCTTCTGTAAAATGAAGGAATTTGACTAGGGATGGGGAACCTGTGGCCTCAAGGCCACATGAGGCCTTCTAGGTCCTTGGGCATGGCCTTTTGACTGAGTCCAAGTTTTACAGAACAAATCCTTTTATTAAGGGGATTTGTTCTGAGAAGTTATTTAATAGCATTTAATGTCCAGTCCAGTTCCAAATCTATGATCCTATGCCCTAATTAAAGAGGATCTTGGTTTCTTGTGTCTTCCCTGTGCCTTTGGAAAAACTCAATTAACTTGTTGGAAGAAAGAAAAAGATCTCTCTATAGATGTATAGAAGCACATGTATAGGTGTACATATACATGTATATGTACACATATGAATGTATATACATATGGACACATGCATGTATATATACACATACACACACGTGTATGGCAGTTAGGTGGTGCAGTGGATAGAGTGCTGGGCTGGAGTCAGGAAACTCTTATTTGTGAGTTCAAATCTAGCCTTAGACATTCACTAGCTGTGTGACTCTGGGCAAGTCATTTAACCTTATTTGCCTCAGTTTCCTCATCTAGAGAAGGAAATGGCAAGCCACTCCAGTAATTTTGCCAAGTAAACCCCACATGAGGCAAGAAATGACTGAAAAATGACTGAACATGTGTGTGCGTGTGTGTGTGTGTGTGTGTGTATGTGTATGTCTATCTTTGCAAACACATTTTAGACTTCTAGAACTTCATCCAGAACATAGTTTGGAACTAAGAAATAAGTGACAAACATTCAGAGCAGATAGGAAAATAGATGGCACAAAACGACACTCTTGAGTTGTGGACTTAAAATTGTATTTGAGATAGCTTATTGATTTGCTAAGTTTAGTTACATGGTTTTGTCTTTCAGAATCCAGGTTTACCAGAGCATTTTTGCTAAACATAACCTTACTAATACTAAATTACTTTAAATTGGGTAATAGTTTGGCATTGAATTATTTTTTTAACATCAATGTAATTGTATGACTTTCCAGCGCAGACAGTAATTTGTACTAAGCTTACAAAGTCTTAGTGAGTTACTTTCATTTAGGTCTTTAGGGGTCTGCATTAATGAAACTCTAACCCTAACCCTTAGACTGTGAGCTCCACAAAAGGTATAAATACACATTTACTTGTATATCTTTGCCCAGAGAGAATTTTTTTTTTACCAGTTTATAAGTTAGTGATTATTTGGATCTACAAGTCAGTTACTTCATTCAAAATTTGAAAAGGGAAATTCCATTAGCATTTCATGTATATATGGCATCTGATGATGTTAACAATTTAGAGAGCAATCTGATATTTCTTTTACACAGCTCACTATCTACAGTTCTGTTCTCTTCTGGGCAAAGAAACAGAGACAACCTTATGCAATTGGGCAACAATTAAGATTGTTGTTGACAGGCCTGTGACTTCCAGCCAGAGACTAACCAACTTCCTATAACATAGAACTGAACAAAGTGAATAATAATGCTGAAATATTTCAAGAAGTCTTGGGTTAAAGCATTTTGGATTTGATGCCTTTATGGTTAGCTTTCCCACCTGTTGGCTGTCTTGAAATATCCTGTTTTTATCATGCTCCTAAGGGCAATTTTAGAGCTTTTTAGTATGTTTCTTGAAGTTCAACTAGATGAGTTTGAAATACATCCTAGCACTAAATCTTCCTACAGTATACTTCTATGAAGTTCTTTGAGCAAGGCTAGAGAAACAGCCCCATGTTCCACAAATGTATAAGGCAGCAAATATTGCTGTCTAAATTTATTTTACCAATGCTAGTGAACATTGCCTCTTGTGACTTCCCACGTCTCTAGGCCAAAATTATTTGCAAAATGACCTATAGTCATTTAAAGACCCAGGTCACACACTAACACAAAGTTTTGTAAAACAAAAATAAAAGTTAGACCTTATTCATTTAGCAAGGCCTAACAGCCCTTTTGTGTAGATATTGTCCAGGATGTTAATATTCATACCCAACTTTATGTCTCAGTCCATGCCCACCTGATATCATTTTAACTGCTTGATAATTTTCTACTGTAGAGACCTCTGTGCCTCATCTTTCAGGGTTTTGAGGGTGACAAGATTGGGGGAAGACAGCACAGAGTCTTAGAATGCCAACTATCCGTTTTACTGATACAAAACCAAAAATAACCAGGCAGCCTTTTTGATATGTGAACATGGCCTCAACCACCAGCTAGGACAGAATTATGTTTTTCATTGTAGGTCAGTAAATGCCTTACTCAATGTCTTCTGCAAGCCAGTGACAGAGTAAGTCAATCCATGCTCTTTCTACTGGGAGACATTTTCTCAATATATGTTATTTTTGACTTATGTAAGCTGTAAGTAAGCATGATTTGTAGTCAACAGCTCAAGGTTTTATTTATACCTTTATTGTGGAAGATCTAATTTGTTGGTTTAAGTCAGACCTTTTGCTCCAAGTGTCAATGTCTGAAATTATGTGAGGTTCCCTTATAAAATGCAAGATGTGTGAAATTCAATCATATTTGTGGAAATTCAAACATTTTAACTTGCACTTCAATGAAAGAAGATCATTTAACAAATGATTATTCTTAAAAAGTGAAGTAAAAACTTGTGGGTGACCGACTTTTTATACCCTGAGTAAATATTTGTGTATTTGATCTTTAACATATACACATATGCTCCTACTCAGTTCTCTTGAAGCAATAGTTAAATATTCCATATATACCCACAACAGGAGTAGGTTCTCATGGGAACAGAGGAATGTCCTATGTATCCTTAAGTACAGGATAGAGAGTAGTACGGGTAGAGAATTACCTTTCTAGAGAATGCATATTGGGATGCTGCACCGTTCACTGACACTGAGTAAGGAGAATATATCTTTCTTTGCTCTTATTGGAAGTATTTCCTTTTCTTTTTTCCTGGCAGCTATGCAGAATGTCGCCACGTGTAGGAATCTCGTATTCTAAGGACAGCATGAAAGGGTGAGTAATGGTGACACAATGTTGAAATTTCAGTCAAGAAAATGTAGGTTTGGATCCCATGTCTGACACTAGTCCCTGTGACTGGGACAAGTGACTTACCCTCTATGAGCCTAAGTTTTCTCATATGTACAACCATTTGTTGGAAAGAACCATTTTTGGTCTTTTTTGTATCTATAACACTTAGAAAAGTACCTGGCACATATTAGTTGATTAGTAAATGTTTGTTTACTTGACTTGACTTATTATTAGGTTCACATGAGATAAGGAATCCTGGATCTATCACTTACTACCTGTGTGACTTTGAGCAAATCAGCTAATTTCTCTGAGTTTATTTCCCAATCTGCAGAATGAATGAGTTAGAATGGATGACCTCTTGTGTCCCTTCCAGATCTAAAACTATGATCCTACATACATAAAGCATTTTATTGGTGTCTCTACAAATATTGGCAACAGTTACTTGTTTATGTTTTTGTTAACATTATATTAACATAGCTACCCAGGGGAGGTAGAGGGAATGGAGAAGAAGAGAATTGAACCAGTTCCTTACTAGGGGGAAAAAGAAAATGAAGTACTTTCATTTAGTGCCATTTGGGGGCCTACTTTATATTCTTATTTTTACAGTGTGATAACCAGTCCTTGAGACATAGCCAAACCATTGTAGAACATACAAGAGATGAAAGATGAGAAGATAATCAATAGGATTAGTCTTGTAGGACTGGTATACCCCACATCCATCTTTGGGTTTAAAGCTACTCACTGATTGAGAAGGATGTTTTTGAAAGTAGAAGGATTTGTGTTTTATTACCACAACTGTTGCCTTATAAAAGAGGTGGCAAAATGGAGAAATCATTTCCTACCTTGATAAATACTGCCCTGAAGTGAGATTGGTGACTCCCTCATCCATGCAGTTCATGGTACTGGGAATGAGTGCAAGTTCTGGCTGGACCATGGTGGCTGTGGCAATGGCCCTTGCTACCAGTTCCATTGCATCCTGCACATAATGTTCAAAGATGGACTGGGTGGTCTTGCCATGAGCAATGAGGCCCAGAGGCAGACCTTCTGTCCTCAGTTCCTCCACATTCTGGGAATCCCCAAGTACCCAGTGGAGCTCCAGAGGCATCCCTCCAAACTGGGTGGTGATTTCAAAAATCCTCCGGATGCTTTCCATGTCACAGCCAAACATCACCATAGTGGGTGTGGTGTCCTTAATGATCTCAAGCTGGACTTGCAAGAAGCTCAGTAGATCTTGCCTCGAGGAGAGATTGGCTGTGATATTGATAATGGATCCCAGGTGGAACTTGGCACTCTGCTGGGTGAGGAAGAGGAAGTCTGTGATGTTCCAATCTTCCTGGCATAGCAGCAAGCTGAAATTGTACCAGTTGTTCATGGTCAGGATTGAGACAGTGACATCAGCATCAGAACTTAATGAATTTTCTAAACTCAGCTGTAGGTGAAGGGGATTCTGTATTTAAAAATATGAAAAAGAAGAATTAGAAAGCTTCAGTGGCTTCTTGCAGCCTTCTGAATCATGTCTAAATTCCTTCATGATCTGACTCCATCCTACTGCTCCAGTCTTAGCTCCCACTGGTCAATCTGGATTATTTGCCATCTCCCAAATACATCCTGCACTCACCTACCTCTCTGTCTGCTCACCTCTGAAACCCTCCATATTATCTCTGCCTGTTGACAGCCAATAAACACACATTTTAATAGCACCTGCTATGCACTAGGCACTACGCAAGGTGCTTGGGATACAAAGACAAAAATGAAATGTTCCCTGCCCTCAAAGACATCCTGTTGATTCTTCCAGGACCAGCTCAAATGCTATCACCTCCCCCGTGAAGCTTTCCTTGAGCCCTTCAGCCAAAAATGATCCCTCCCTCATCTGGCCCCTAACATTTTGTACCACTCTTATGCACATTAGCACTGGACTAAATTTGTGTACATATTTAATCACCCTAACTAGACTGTAAGGCCTAAAGCCTCTGCTTTATTTGTATCTCCTTCAGTTCCTAGCACAGTGCCAGAGGTAGCATGGTGCAGTGGTAAGAGTTTGGCTTTACATGTTATATCCCCACCCATTAAAACAAATTATATGTTATATTTTCTCAGCAGAATTTAAGCTCCTTGAGGGCAGGGATTATTTCATGTTTACATTTGTATTCCCTAGTACCTAGCGTGATGCCTGACACATAGTAGGCACTTAATAGTGTCATAGCTAATGTTGGTTAATTTGAATCGCTAGATTTAAGAGATCTGCCTTTGACATAATAGCTATATGACCATGAGTCAGTCTCTTAGTCTTTTTCACCCTCAGTTTCCTCCTCTGTAATACAGGAGTATTAATAGCTGCAATACTTCTCACTGTGTTGTTGTGTGGATTAAATGAGATAATATGTGTAAAGCATTTTACAAAATTTAAAATGCTATATAAATGTGAGCTATTATTATTGTATATACTGGGCATTTAATAAGTGGGCATAGAACAAATGAATTATAGAAGAAAACTATGGGGGACAAAAATCTTAATGGTGTTTTTTTTTAAATTTTTTCCCTCTCCCCATCCCCTGCAAGGTTTAAATAGGTCTCATAAGTGGTATTAAATACAACAAAAATCATTCCTTCCTCATATCTTGTTAAGTAAATGGAAATTGTACATGCATATAGTAAAGGATGTAATTCTAACCATTGTTGCAGCTTCACACCAAAAAAACAAAACAAAACAAAACAAAATGAACCAAAACCCAACTGTCACATCATGTTGTTTAATTTTAGTGCTCTATGTTGGGTCATGCACCATGAACTAGGAATTCAGTGAAGAATCCAAAGCACTCCGTCTCCCCACAAGCAACATTAGCCAAAGGTACCATCATAAAAAAGCTTATTTATAAGCAGCCCATTTGTAGTATGTAATTGGCAATTAAATTAAATTCTACTCTTTCCAAGGACAGATTTATGATCAGCCCATGATATAAATCTATAGGGTGGGATAAGAAAAGCAAGCAATTATAGATGTTCCACATTGGGGGGTAATCTCTTCCTTCTTAGTGAATGGGGAATCTTTTCGCACAAGAGAATTCAATGGAAGTAAACATCTTAAATGGATCAGTGGATTCCTGCTGTACAGATATCATAAAATCAACAAAATGCATGTAGACTCACTTTCTCAACAGGTCTCCCCTAAGGCTTCCCTGTTGGTACAGTTTGTGGTATTTGCATGCTGAGCAGAATTCATATCAACTGAAAGGGGGTAATTCCAGCTGGGGGAGGTGTTTATATTTGCTGAACTCCTGTCTCCCTTTTAGAAGACCTCTCTCTTCACTCCTACTGTTTCTCTCTCTCTCTTTCTCTGTCTCTGGCAGTTTTGGCACTCAGCTTGTCATCAAATCAGCTGTGGTGAGGAGAGAGCCCAATGATAGCTTCACAGGGGACAGCTCAGGACACCACAAGGCTACTGCGGGGAATCCACTGCTTTGGCTAGGCCAAACATGGAGCAAATCCGTCATCTTTGTAGCCTCCTAGCTTAGCTCTTCTTGCCAGTTAGATCTTATATTACTAGAACAAAAATTCTATAAAAATGTGAATGTAACAAATTAAAAATTGCATTGATTGCTGAGATCTCACCATGTCTAATAGTATGCAAACCCAACAATATCCTCTCACCTGGGCTATTTTCTGATCTGCTGCCACATGCATAATCCTTCCCCTCCCCTCATACCAACCCCTTGCTCAGAGACATGTAATCAAATCAACATTGCCATCACTCCTGGGGAAAGCCTGCCAATCAACTGCCAGACTATTTCACTCACTGTCTTTGACTCCTCAGATCAAAACATCCTTCCCTTGGCCATCACTTTCATATATGTATTATTTTGCTCAATTAGAATGTAAACTTTATGAAGGCAGAAAAATTCCACTTTTGTCTCTTTCCCTTGCACTTGGCATAAGTGCTGAATATATGCTTTTAAATTTATTCATTATCATGTTTTCTGACTTTCAGTGCTCATTTCCATTAAATGACTTGTCTAAGTTCACACAGGTAGATAGGAAGTGTCAGAGGTGGGATATGAGCCCATGTCCTCTGATGGCCATTACCATTTCTACTGTACCATGCTACCTCTATTAGTGGCCAGGATTCAGTTCTAGATCTCTCTGCAACGGAGGCTGTCTCAGAAGGCTTCCCTTTCTTGTTTAAAATTCTCAGCAATGGCTCTCTCCTATATCATGAAATCATAGACTCTCAAATTTGGAAAGGTCTTTGGAGGTCATCTAGTTCAGAATTGCAAACTTGCTGCCCTGCTGGTAGCCTGCAAAACTCTTGAGTGTGGCCTGAAGCAGATTATAATATAGTTGGGAAATGTTTAACAAAATAAATAAAAATGCAATACCATATAGGTGATATTAATTTATACTTTTGATGTCAATATACACCCATAGGGATCCATTTCTATTTGAGTTTGACACCACTGAATCTAGTCCAATCCCTACCAGATACAGGACTCCCTTCTACAATACACCCAGTGTTCTTCTAGCCTTTGTTTGAATGGACTCCCAACTCCTTTGTATGGATCTCATACCTCCTCACAGGAATATCTCTAGAACTCCAAAACACAACAACTGACCTACCCTATATGGGAGTCTCCCTAGCTATAGGCTTGTCTCTCCTGGTTACTTATCCCAAACCCTAGGGCAGCTAGGCTTCTTAGTAGATAGACCTCGGGTGAACATTTGTTTTGCCTGCTCTTCTCACTAAACAAAAATGGTGGCTGCTGCTCTTTGTTTATCTTCTCCAAAAAGTTTTGTCAGGGAGGTAGTCATCCCTACCATCTCTCTCCCTACAAAGCTATTTCTAAGTGTAAACATTACATTTACTCAGTCGTCCACAGCAGGACCAGGACAATAGTGATTTACCTCCCTGGGAAAAGTATCATTCATGTACATTTCCATGAGTCCAAGCTCTGCAGCTTACTGCTTATGTGTCTTTGGAGGAGTCTTCGCATCTCCTGGAGCCCCGGTCTCTGTCTGTAAAATGAGCTCTTTGGAATAAATGATCCCTAAGGTTCCTTCCTGTTTTCGCATCCTATGATTAATGTGTGTGCCCTTTAGGGATGGAGGGAACAGTGTTCAGAAACATAGTTCTTTCCTTTTTTTTCCATCTAAAAAGGCTCCTTTAAATTTCTTTTAAGGCACCTCTCATCTCTCTTGCTCCTTGTTTACACTATTCAATTGTTGAGTAATCCCTTTTCTAATGTACTTCAGAGCAAATTTCAACTTTACATTATTTCTTTCTCTTGTAAGGTAGAGCACAGATGTTATCTAACTGCTTGCTACAAGATAATTCAAAAAGCTTTGTCCTGGGGGATGCATTTTTCTAAGAGTAAACTATACCAGGAGTTTGTCAAATTTGATGGTGGATACATTTTAATGGAGCCAAAAGGGGGCTACTGTAATTGCCCAATCTTCAATTTATTGCTCTGGACTCCCTGAATAGCTCTGCTGGAGGGTTTTTTTGTGGATGGGGAAGAGTTCGACTGTTAATGAAATTGTTTAATCCAGAAAGTTTAAAGCAAGTCAAAGGAAGAAACTGGGAAGGAGGCACAATCTAAGATGCTGATTCTGACAATCTTTGCAAAATATGAAATGCCAATAAAGATTAAAAGGCTAAGAATTAGTGAAGGTAGCTGCATGCATAATTTTCTCTCTGGAGTACACTGGGGTTATTTCCAATTAATGGTTATGAATCCAAATGGGCTAATTAGTGAGGAGATCTAGTCCTAACATAGGTGTATAGCATTTATTCTTATACTTGATCACCTCAGTGACCCACTGGGAGAGATCCTGACACCATCCTCTGATTTCTACATTGTGATGAAAGTGGTAGGGTCAGTAGGATGAGGGAGGCAAGTAGGTGCCTTGGATGAACCAAGTCTTTGAACTTACTGGTGGAAGCAATGGCGGGGGTGGGGTGGGGAAGAGGAGGGTTATAGGGAGCAGCTTGTCTGTAGTATGACAACTGCATGGCAGTATTGGATGAGAAGGGGCTACTCCCCATAGCTCTCTTGGATTAGGCCTATTAGAAAGGCAGGTAGGTAGCACAGTGGATAGAACACTGGAACTGGAGTCAGGAAGACCAGAGTTCAAATCCAGACCTAGATACTTACTAGTTCTGTGACCTTGGCCAGTGAATTAATCTCTGTTTGCCCCAGTTTCCTTATCTGTAAAATGAGGAAAATAATAGCTATTGGGAAGATCAAATGAGGTAAGGATCAAATGAGATAATAATTGTAAAGCACTTAGTATAGTGACTGGCACATAGTGCTATAGAAATGTTTGTTGTTGTTGTTGTTGTTAAGTAAAGAAAACCAAGACAGGTCTGGGATTTCAACGGGAATACTGCCTCCTGTCAGGGACTGTATCTCCTGACATTCTTATACCACATACTCATGTACATGGATACATACA